CTACATTGAAAAATAAAGTGTTATTTTTCCCCTCGGATGTTTATTTCTTATTCAGGTAGATAACTTATTGAGTGACCCTCGTACCAATTGCATTGAAACTAGTAGAGGGCTATGTTGAGTGATTTCGAAAACCCAGAAATTCCTACAATTTTGACGAATATAATCCCCAATTCGAAACTTCCTACTCCCACCTCTCCTAAGAGCGTTTCCATTGATTGTAATTACTGAGAACTTCCTTAAAGTAAGATTCTTTAATGGGTTACGAGGTTTCATAGATTCTTCCAAAGCCGATTCTTTTGCAGTTGCAGTTTCTCTGTTTTTGAGTACCCAAAGGGTATTCAAAAATATGTATTAATAATAATGCATTTTGGTCTATCCCATATTCTTCTTGCCAAAAAAAGCTGCAGTGTTGCATTACCTCATACTCCCTGGGCGATGTATATAAGCCATCGTGTTCTGTTCGCCAGTGAAATTCATTGGTACAGTGTTTACACTTGCTCGTCCCGCTTTTACTTATACCACAAACGTCACACTAAGGAAGAGTTGGAGCCGTTCATCCTTGACTTATTCGGAAAATGAGGTAACTAACCTGAACCAGCAGAGTATTCATCGAGCTCTTCCCTGGAGGAGTGCAGGAGCTCCTCAGCGACGGATCGATGGCCTTCTTCAAGAAGACATCTAGATATCAGGGGCAGATTTCTTCCGTCCTTTTTTCCCAGGACATCACCTAGACTGGACATTTTCTGCTCCTTGTATTTAATTACATTGAGGGTCCTTATTTCGTCACTGTTGAGAATACCGCGGTTCATCATCCTCTTCATGACATCTCCCGGATTTCCAATCTTGATGAACTTCAACCATACTCTGCCGATGCGGACTTTCAAATCTACAAAAATCAGACATGGGCAGAAATAGTAAGTGCTCACATTCTTCATCTATGTAGATTGTTTCCAGACAATTAAGTCGACCTCCTCAAATGTTATAGATATGATGTTAATGGCAGCCATAAGTATTGGAGGGATTCATGGGCGGGAATTTAAAGCATGGAAGTATGCTCTTAAGTATTTTTGCATGAAGCAGAACTCCAGGAAGTACATATAGATGTATGTCACGTGGACGCTCGGGGTAGAACAGGAGTCAAAGTTACCAGAGCATAGGGATTCTGTGCTTAAATGGCAGGTAGTGTGGAAATAATGCAATGAATGGATTCTCGTTCAGAAAGCACTAACACAGTTGAAACACTGCGCTTGCGTAGAATGCCAGTTATGATGGTGCCTCTCCCTGAAACGTGGTCAAACATTGAAGTGCGGAGTGCTATTCGTTTTTTTCATGGAAGAGGCACCACACTTACAGAAATCCATTGCCAAGTTGTAGAGGTTAATGGAGAAGATGCCATGTCTCGGAAACAATTATGGGGGTGTTGGTATGGCTCTAAGGCGTGCAATGGCTCATATGAGACGTATAAAATACCAGAATCCATTTATTGCCAGGAAAATAAGGGTTTCATGAAACCGGAGTTGCATGTACTTTTCATGTAATACTTACTTTTCAGAATTTCGCCACCCTATCATATTTTGTGGGATTCATCATAACAAAACCAAAACTGCATTACTAAGAGTCCACCTCCGCCTCAGTTTTATTATGTTAGTATTACTTGGTACTTTTCATTCCCACATGTTGAAACTTTATGCCGAATATCCCATATTTTGCTATTTTAGACTTTTTTATCATCAGATTGTAATGAATGTAACAGAACGAAACTCATATAGTCAATTAGATCTTGGAATGTTCTTTCATATTACATATGATATACATTTTCATCTGGACCCCGAATTCTTTTTTTAATCAGGTAAAAAGTCTCTAAAATCGGAAAATGTGGGATATTAGACTTGAATTTTGAGGACTGAAAAGAAACAAGAAATATGAGTATACAGGGTCGTGCAAAAGTTCCCGTACACTTTGAAAATTAATTCTTTCACTAATCAACGAATTTTTGGCGATTCTGATGTGTGTGGTTTTTTTTTATTCTACGGACATTTTTGATACGAAATGTTTTCATTATAGTAAATTTCAGTCTTTATTTGAATTTTTTTCTCTAGAGCTATGACGCCTAAAGAGAATTGAAGCGCTAATCGAAGTGTACGGGAACTTTTGCACAACCCTGTATTATACAAGTGAGCCAAAAGTGGACTCAGCACTTCAATTTTCGTTTTGTTATGCTGATTCCTGCAAATGATAATAGGGTTGTAAAATTCTAAAAATGATAATACGACTTGAAAAGTACAAGTACTCCAGGTTAATTGAAATCTTATTTTCGTGGTAGTAAATGGATCCTACCATTCCATACATTACATATGAGCCATTACACGCATTTGTTTTGCTTTGAGAGTTATGAAATTCGCCCGAGTGGCCGGGCGTGCCAGAAGGCATATATTTATTTTTTAAAATTCATCTCATTTCCCAACGGCAAAATATTGAAGATGTCAAATTTTGATGTTTCATATCAGACCTTTCATCTCTGATTTTTTCGAGTTTTCCTGTGATCGTCGAGCGTCATACCTCGGTCAGTTGGCATGGAATGGCCTAAACAGTATACAATCTCAATCAGCTTCTTGTTGTTGGGTCTCCTGTGGATGCAGCTTTGCTTGGCAAAAAAATGGGTGAAGAATGAGTGATTTTTCTTTCATTTTCATCTCAGTGACAATGAATAAAATTGCTGCGTACATAGCATGATTATATATTTTCTTTAATAAGGCTTACACATGATCTTGATTTTCAAAAATTGGTGTTGTCCACAAACTGGGTCCGTAGATGTCCACGAACTGGAAACAGGTCGTCCACAAATGGGAGCAGAGTGAAAATCCACAAATATTCATTAAAATAACTATTGCTGGAAAAGTTTGCACTCAATACTCAATTTTAGAGTAGGGATATATAACAATGTTACGTGATCTCATATTAAACTAAACGCGAAGTTCTCCGGTGACTCCAACGACAGTAGTACAATTTTCAATGTAAATATTTTCTTCAAGCTTCCACGAACTGGTGCTTTTACCTTGTTCACCTACTTTCAGCATTATGTTCGTTTCAGCATGAATTGCTGGAGTGGGAAAAAGTGTATAGAGAAGGATCCTGCCACCCTCCCACGAAAAAAGGGGGTTAGCGGGAAAGTACCTTAAAAGTAGAAGTCCTGATCTTCCATGGTAGGCAGAATTGATCTTCCTAAAATGAAGATTAATTCAATCTACCCCAGGGATATTTTCTTCGCACAATAATTGGAAGAAAAAAGTGGATTGTGATAGTTCCATGACCGGGTCGCAGCTTGGAATATATTGATGCGATCCAAATAAAACGAGAATAATGCCCATGCGTATCTGGACCCACAAATATGAAAGGAACGTTCGCAATAGCAGCGCGAAGCTCATTTTCAGCATACAATTGGTATTTTCTCTGGTAAGATGAGACATGGGGAGGAAATTTTCGAAAACTTAAGTGACATATTCATTTGGAGCGCACCCCTTTCCTAAAACTAGACTGAGTACTCGAGTTGCAACCTAAATATCTCACAATTAGTTTGTCTCCTGGATTTGGATCGGGGGAGATTATCAATGAAAATGAACGCACATTTCGCAAGAATTGAATTTTTTGCCCTGCACTGGGAGATTGCTTTTATTTGGTCTGATACTTTAGAAGAAAGAGCCAGAAAGACCTTGATTTAGTATTTCAGAGGTAAAGGGCGGCTTTTTGTCCCCCGCCACTCTTCTCAAAACCTGCTTCAAAAAACTGAGAAGGAACTTTTGAATATTTTCTGGTATTAGAGAATAATCCATACGAGACGGCCTTTGAAATTGCACATAGTAATAACTAAGAAAAAAAACCAAATCTAAATGGCCTCTCTTGCCACCTGGTGTCCTCTCACGTCCCCAGTTTGAGAACCGCAGTCCTATGTTACTATTGGAATAGCGGTTTAAGTCGGAGGGGGAATATATGAATCACAGTTGAATTTCTTGCCAGCCAGTGAATCGAAAACCCTCAGATGTTATCAAGTCTTACCTGTTTTACTCTCGAGTCCCTCTGCTATGGCTGAATAATCGAGATCCTGCAAGGCTACCAATAGATCAAGGTACCACTCTTGGTACTTCTGTGGCTTTTTGCACAAGATATAGAGGAGCTTCGTCATTCTTGTTTCCGAACTGTCGGAACATATATCCTTGATTTCTTCTTGGGTGAGGTATCCTTGAAGCTTCTGGCAGACTTTTTGCACAGGAATTCCTGCGAGTAGGCGTCGGCGACTTTCAATGAACCTGAAAAATTGGTTTTCTCGTTTCAATTACTAGCTTGTCATCAACTGAAGTTTTAATCGTTCTGGAAAAAAAGATGCGATGGTGTGGTATCAGCAAATGCGTATATTATCCGAGGGCTCTCTCCACGCATGCGCCCAGGTACCATTACCAGGTAACATTAATTCAACGTTGATTTGGTGTGGATCGAATGTATGACTGCTGAAGGTTTCTGCTTCCATGTTGAATCAACATTGATTCAACGCAGCGACTGTCACCGTTTATGCACCCACATCGACTAAACATTGATTCAATGCTGCGCTATTCACGGTGGAATTGTCGACTTCAAATCAACCCCGATTCAATGGATCCTTTTGCAGTAGAAAATCCCTTGTGTTTTATGTCTACTGCTAGGATTTTTTTGTGTACCCCATAATGGTTCGTTGAATAGTTCAGTCAATCTCCTGGAATATATTTCGATCAAGAAAAATGCTCGATTTATGGCAGACAAGAAGGTAGCTGAAATTACGCCTGGCAAAATTTCTAACCCAGCAAATAAATAAAAAAGAAAAAAAAATTTCTACGGAGCATCTGAGCATCTGACATAACGGTGGAGTTCTCTCAATTCAGAAGTAAAATTAAAAAAAGGATATTCAATAAAAAGCAGTATGTATTTTTTTTTTAGCTATTTCATCGATTGACATGAAGTCATGTTCAAATCAAGGCATGTACCTTACTAATGAACGAAAGTGTATTTGTGAGACTGGATTGTTGTGACCCATAACCCTGAATTTTAAACTTTAATTTCCTGGGAGTGGGGCTCCTGGATGACGGAGTTTAATGGCCCTGTGACTGATGGATCCAAAATAGCCACCCAAGGTCACCAGTGTTATTTTTCAGTAAAAAAAAATTAGTTTCTTTGTTTTTAAGGAGGTTATCAAGCCCCCTGACTTCATCGGGAAGCCTTGTAGCACCTAACAATGAATCATTATCCAGACGTTGAATGAAGATTTTATCAATGTTCATTCAATGTTATGGGCTACTGGGAAAGTTTTTTTTATATTTTACCTTTAAACCTTTGAGATACTGGAAATGAAATGTGGACACTTTTAGAGACTCTCAGTGGGGGAACACTTCCCTCTTGCATTGGATGCGAAAGAAACCTGCATCAATGCAAAACTTTATATCTCGGAGAATTTTTCATCACACTCTCGTGGTGTTGTAACTGAAACTTGGTGGGCCACCATTGAGTTATATCCGTTATGTTCGGGGTCAGTGGCTCGCCTGATAGCATGTTTTGCTTACGTGACGTAAAGCAGTAGTTCGAAATCTGCACAAATCTACTATTTTCATCCCCAATATAGACCTTGACAAGTTTGGAAGGTGGCGTTGAATCAAAGTTGACAGGTGTGGATTGAATGTATCACTGTTGTTACATCCTTATTACTCCAACATTAATTCAAGGCGGTGACCGTCACCATTTACACACTCACTTTTGTCTAACATTCATTCAATGCGGGACCATACACGGTCGAAGAATCTAAAGTAAATTACTTTTTTAATCATTCATCAGTGTTTGCAATTACTTCAGCCGATCTACCAGGAAGTATATCTTTCAAGAGGAATGGTAGAGCAATAACACAGTGCCTGAAAGGCACTCGAATTTTGTCGCATCAAGCAAGCAGAATGTCATTTTCGGCTCGCGTAATTAGGAGCAAGGATTCAAAACCTTACTATGTCAGATCAATTTCCCGAAATAGGCACATACATATTCATGTAGGCCATCAAGGGCTTGGTGTAGGAGAAGTGACGTGACGACACTAGCTAGATGTATTCTAATTAAGCTTCAATTGTAATGCCTTCTGGAATCATTCCCATTTTGCTTTCTAATAATACAGAAGTGTTTTTCTGGGACAGTCTAGATTGTCCATGGTCATCGTGTAGTTTTTTTCCATGTAAATCTATTTTTTCTTTTTTTTTTGCTGCGTAGCATGAATACCTCAGTACGGCCTTCGACACGTATCGAAGTAATATAGGTTATCCAAAGAAAGGACAGACTCAACAACAACGCTTCAGTATTGCATCAATCCTTTAACATTGATTCAATGTTGATTCCCTGTTGACAAGAGCAATATTGCGAGAACGTTGTCCGGTCAACGTTACATCAAGAGATGTCAAGTCCTCTAGGAATATACAGGAATCCTACAGGAATATAAATGAGTATTATAGGTTTGATATAGAACCTATAGTGTTCCTATAGGGAAGCATGCATTCTTAAAGAGAGTCCATAAGATTCCTGTTGGAATCGTATATTATCCTACGGGGTTTTTATTGGACCCTTTACTGGCGTTGGAAAGCCCTCGAAAGTGGGGTGGCAAATGAGATACGAGGGTCACTCAATAAGTTATCTACCTGAATAAGAAATAAACATCCGAGGGGAAAAATAACACTTTATTTTTCAATGTAGTCACCTTTTAACTGAACACATTCCACTTTGATTCCAAGGATTTTATTCCCTGGGAATAGAAGTCAACTTCTTGTCCATCAAACCAATCAGAAACGGCAACTTTCAGCTCTTCATTGCATGAAAATCTTTTTCCCCGCAAAATGTTTTTCAAGTGTCTGAACAGAAAATAGTCACTAGGAGCCAGATCCGGGCTGTAGGGAGGATGGTTGAGCTCCTGAAAGCCATACTCCCTCACTGCTGCCTGAACTTTCCATGATTTGTGGATGGGCGCGTTGTCATGGAGAAGAAGGACCCCCCTTGACAACTTTCCTCTGGGTTTTTCCTT